CAGTAACATTACACACGAAAGAAAGTTGAAAATGTAAAAAACCCATAATAACTTCTCCTTTCCTATATGCTCACTAATTTTAATTTGTGATTAACTGAAATGATATTTGCCTATAATATGGTGGGGACACGAAAATGTTATGCACACTGTTGTTGAAATTTACCCACTTTTATTTATTTGCTCTTCTTTTAGGGACAGAGCAATACAGCAAGTACTCTGGCTATGCAGAGAGCTTTAAATGGAAAGACAATCACAAAGACGAGATACCCAGGTAACATTAGGCAGCACCTCTTGAATGGGTCCCTGCACTTTTTAAAATGTATTTAGCTGCCATAAATATAACCAAGCATCCAAGATAGTAAAAATGTGGAAACCCCTAAATAAAATAAACATCTTTACCAATGCTCAGAGACAAGTGGCAGCGGAGGTGCACAGAGATTGTGGCAATGGATGCCCTGAAATACAGGAATTTCATGGAACAGTTTCAGCCTGATAAAATGACCCGGGAGCTAAACAAGGTGAGCAAAGGCTTCATGCAAAGTGTTTCACACTGATGACATGAAATGGCAAATCCTTGACCTCTGTCAAGCTCTAATGGCCATTGATTCTCTCAACCTTGCCAATCTGTTGCTTAGAGAATTTAACGAGGCATGACTGAGTCATCTTGTCAGGCTCTTGAATTCTGCAGTGATTAGCTTGCATTTGTTTCTCTATTATAAAGGATGACTTCTTTTTCCAGGCATACTGCGGTTTCACGCGGCCTGAGACGAGCCCTCAGAACCTCTCGGCTGTTGCCACAGGGAACTGGGGATGCGGTGCGTTTGGAGGCGACACTAATCTCAAAGGTATATGCAGGTCCTCACAAAGTGAAGCTACAATTTTCAAGGTGCTCTTATGGGACATTTCTTTCTCAAATTTCATGCACCAATGTTAAAAATCTCACCACTGATATTCCAGCTGTTAATTATTGTCATGTTTATGGGTGATAACTCCTAAATGGCTGATATTAGAAGACCCTATTGTTTTTTGGATTAAATAAATAAAACCTAAAATCAAAGCTGTTTTATTTTTAGCCATCACAACATTATAATGTTGAGTGTGACGTGCTGGATTTAATCGTAAATAGTCAGTTGAGTATATTTATCTCTAGATTTTGATTTACATTTTTGTATTCATTTATGGTTTTGCTGGCATAGAGACAAAACAAAGAAGCTCTCTTTCTTTGTTTTTTTGTTTGTTTGTTTTTTGACCCAAGACATGTTTTTGCCACTTTCCTGTTATTGATCAGCTGACACACATTTATCTTTTCCATTACAAGTGCAACTGATTTTCCAGCCTCATCCATAAATTCATGGCAAGCTTGTGACTTTGCCAGCTGATCATTTTCTGTTGTAAGGATGGAAGCCAGTTTCATGAGATAATTCCATCTTTGATAGTTCATCATTGTTGAAACCATGAATGTGGAGCTAGTTAATTTCTCCCATTGACTTATAACACAGTAAATTCATCTTGATGCTGGGTTATTTTGGGCCAGTCTGTTTAGTTTAGCGCTGGTTACAGATTACCCATTGTAATTGGTTGCCCTCATTTGAACAACGTTCATTCATCAGTGGGCTACATTCAACCTCTTTAAATATTTAAAATCTTTAGACTCAATTTGAAGCTGGGTGACTAAGATTGAGTCTCTTAATAGGGGTTGTTAGACATGGATTATTTACCTTTTAAAAACAAATTGGATGTGTCAGTCGTTTTCTCTACTGCTAGGAACATGAAGCAAAACTAAAGAATCCACACTATGCCATCAGTGATGTATTACACCATATTTTATTCATTTAGGTTGGGCAGCTATCAGTATTTTCTGGGGACCCTCAGATAATATTAACAATATATCTTGGAGCTTGCAGCGGTTGATTGACCTTTCATTGTGGTAAATGGGGGTGGGAGGAGTAAATCTACAATTGTGTTTTTTTTTTTTCCCCTTTCATATTCCATATTCCCATGCATTGACAGGAATCCATGCGTAAATGTATGCATGTCATTTCTGTTTAGCGATGCATGCATTAAAGAGAAATAAGAACGAAAACTGAAATGCGTCCTACATGGTTTTTATGGCTTTAGAAATTTTAGCTTGTTGTGGACAGTGTTTATATCCGAACTATAATCTTTTATCAGTTTGTTCATTTGAATGTTTGATCACAGCAATAATGATGCTGTGTGTGTTTCACACCTAAACATGATAACGGCTCTCTCTTGGTCAAACGCAAAGTTGAATGTTCCGATGTGATTTTGTCAAAGGTTTAAAAAGATTGTGAACAGACTGTGTCTGTTTGTCCTTCCAGCTCTGCTGCAGTTGATGGCAGCTTCCGAAGCAGGGAGAGATGTGGCCTACTTCACATTTGGAGATGAGAGACTCATGAGGGACGTGCATGACTTGCATACCTTTCTTAAAGACAACTGCGTCACTGTCGGTAAGAGGCCTGCCACGTGTGGTTCATTCTGTATAAGATCTAACACATTATAAAAATGGGTGTCATGTTTTTATTGGAGGTGGATGTCATTTTAATATTTTTTTTATTTATAAATAGAAAACAGACTGACAGATGTTACTGTAAATTTATAGACTGACAGACTAGAGCCCGACCGATAAAGGAATTTAAAGGCCGATACCGATACAAATATTTTTTGGGTTATAAAATCCGATATTCCAATATATCGGCCGTTATTTATTTATTTTTTTATTTTTTATTTCAGAAACGCACAACAAAACATTAACAGATTTCCCTAACATAGTTATTGTTAGTTATTTATGAGTTTTAACTAAAATAATATGATAAAGCATTTTAAAAAGAAACTTGTTTCTTTTATTGTCACAACAGAACAGAGGAACATCAAAATACATTAAAGTTCTGATAAATAAAATAATAATTAGTTCCTACATTGCCTTATAAGCTACCTTATAATTACAATGTCAGCTTGCTTATCCCTTTACCTGCACTTTTTAAATTCTTTCCATCAAGCTACATCAAACCATTTTCAATCATCAGTTGCTGCCTGCCTCCTAAAACCTACTATTTAGCGATGCTAAATCCATTACAGAGTGACAGTCTGCAATGCACACTTGGGGTTGTTGGATTTCACACACGTGTAAAAGAAAAGCTAACTTTTATGCACAAGATGTCTAAATATTCACTCCTCTCAAGTCTACCATACATTTTACAATGCAGGGACTGTAACTAGAGATACGCTAGTTATAAATACAGTAATCATTACTTTATTTAGGCGGAAAAAGTTCATTGTGGTTTCCAAGCTCATTAATGTTAACGTTAGCGGTCTTCCACTGATGATAGTGGCATTAGCTTGCTTTGTGGTTAGCTAGTCTATGATGAGCCATAATTTAGCAATAGATAACGTCATACTGCAAATTGTAAAACATACATTTTCAATATAACAGGCCAATGAGAGATGATTGAAGCGATGATTGTTTCGTCCGTTTTTATTTTATTTTTGAAATATTCATTTTTCCGCCATTATAATTATTCAACATTCAAATGCCAAAGCTGAATTTTGTATAAATGTTTCTATAGAAAAATGCAAGACTGGACAATTACATGTGAAACACATTTACAGTAACAATTTCAAAATTCCAGCAATATTGAGCCACTTGTTTTGCATAATTAAATGATACAACCATTAGTGCTCTTCAGTATTGTGAAGTTCTCTGTTTCTGTCCCATTTTTCCTTTCTGACGTTTATTGAAACCTGTTTGAGAAAACGCTGTCAGCCATCTATTGTAGTAAAGTGGAGACGGCAGTAAACTTGTGTGCTCTGTGATTTATGAATGGCTCTGGACTGGGCTGACGCCATGATGCTCACCATCCCTCAAATCTTTTTTTCCGTTCCTCTCTCTCTCTCTCTCTTTCTCTCTGTCTCCTAGGCGATCTGTACTTCCACTTAAAGCAGTACTCCAATGTAGTGTCTAAGCAGGGCCCGTGGCCTAACATCAATCTCTATGCGTACATCATGGATAAGGTCAGTACAAAAATGGAAGCGGACCCCAACCCTGGCCCCAGCGACTGCAACTTGACCACTGCGCCTTCCCCCTCTCCTGCAGACTGCCATTAATGCTGACCAACGGCTAACTGAACCTGTCTAAATGCCTCAGTGCTTTCTTCTCCTTTAGACAGACTTTTTGGGTGATTGTCTGAGACATAGAGAAGCACTTTATGCCTTTCTTTTCTACCAGTGAGTATAAGGTTGAAGTCACTATGAATAAGGCGACAGGAAGTATAGCAATAGTCACTCTGACTGTAAATCCTTATTTCGGATGAACATCATCTAGGTTTGATCTCGGGGGAGTTTTTTCTAGAATGGGATCAAATTTACTGCATGATCTTGTGGAATTAAATGATCCATTTGAGTTGGGTGACCAAGGTGTAGTCGTCTTACAGTAAATGTTTTTGTTCATATCCAGAAACTAACAGTGATTCAGATTAAAGTGTTTAGAGATAATTAACAAAGTATGCATGAAAACCACAGTAAGGTCCCCCGTGACACTTGATTGCAAGATTTATTGCACAAGCCGTAAAGGGAAAAGCTTTGCAGAAAAATGAAAAGATTTGATTATGAAATATGTGAAAAGGAAAACGTATCTGTTGAAAAACAACTTGTATAATCACACTAACGGAACTGCTGCAAATTTAAATTGTGTAAAAAAATATAGTCTTTGCGTGACATTTTTAGCAATTTATTACAGTCAAGGTTTTTACTGTTTCAATTATTGTTTTGATCAAAGGCACCTTTAAGGAATGGGGTTGATATTTAAGGGTAGTGAATATTTTCATATGTTTTGCTCTTTATTTTATTATGATTTGATAATTAAAATTGTTGATTCAGAAAATTGTTGCTGCTTTCTTTCTGCTTGCTATATACGTGTTCAGGACATATTTTGACATGCTAATCAAAACATGCTAATGCTTTTACCCAAGTTGACGCATGGATTAGTTTAGAGCCAGTAGACTACGGTTTTATGTGTTCAATTATTTATGCTCAATTGCAAATTCAATGTCATCTATCCAAGTCTTTTTGCGATTTATCTTTAATGTGTGTCTTTAAATTAACTTTAGAGTAACATTTCGGTTGATATAAAACAATCTTTCTTTCTTCAGTCCAACTCTAATCATACTCTCTCTCTCTCTAATTTGACTTAACAGACCTCTTTTGATCACCACCTTTATGACTGTTTCTAATTATCCTCAAATGCTTTTGAACATTTCGTCAATCTGGAACAAACGTAACACTTGAGAACCAAACGACGGTCTCCTATAAATGCGCTCTTGGTTTAAAACGGATGCAGTGTCCTCTTGTTTTCACAAATACTGAGGTCCTTAAAAGGTCAGACTTTAATAGAAATTTAAATGTCACTGAAATGAGTTGAGAAGCATTACGTTCTTGTCAACATTTGTTTCATAGAGAATGAAATTGTGGGCATGGAAGTATCAAATCATGTTTATTTATTTGTTTACATTCTAAATGACGGTTGCCTTTAATAAGATCCCTGGTAAAGTAGGCTCTCGGCTCCATCTGTTTCAAGAGCTGAAGTCAAAAGAGCACAAAAATGGCATTTTCACTTATAATTGCATGACCTTGTCTTGTGCTCGGTTACAAGACACTTTTTGTTATTTTTGATTATAGCTCTGATCAAGAACAGAGAAGGACCAATGTAGATGTTTTATTACAATGACATGTATAACAGCTCTACGATATGAACCTCTGACTCATACGGCACCTTGTACTACTCTGCTGTTATGCTGCACTTTTTGTGGTCACAGCTTGAATAAGTTCTGTTTCCATCTGTGTTTGCATCTATTGTTAAGATCTCTAATTATTTAAGAGTCTGAATAACATTTTTTTTTTTTTCATATATAAAAAGGTCACTCATGACACTTTGACCCTGAAAATCATGCATTTGGCATTTTCCTAATGCTGTATTTTAATCATGTCTGCTTTATTTCTGAAACAGCCATGATAGCAGCCCAGTGATGATTGATGGCAATGCTTTCTTTTTTCTGGTTGTTGGCCACTAAGAGTGATGAAACTAGTTTTGAGGTTCTGAGGGGGAGGGAAGGCAATTAGCTCATGGCGTAAAATCCGCCAACGTGAAGACCATCAATCTAGATGACTGAAGCCACATGTTCAAGTGAGTTCTGCACAATCCCTATGAAAATTAGGAAAGCATAATTGTCCAATGTGATTAAGAATTAGAGTTTACTGAAAATATCAATGTACTCATTAGACCCTGGCACAACATTTTTATAAATATGTAATTTAATTTCAAACACAGTGGTTGCAGGTTTTATATACATGTCTGTTAGTTACTGTTTTACCTTTATTAAAAGGAAAGTGCATTGGAAGCATGGTAAGAAATAAAAGAGTCAAGTCCCAGCATTTCCCAGTGTCGTAGAATCATCAGGTACACCAGGGGCAGACTGGGACCAAAAAGTGGCTCTGGACTTTCTGGCCCACAGCAACCCACCACATCCCACATCATAACAAATTGGCCCATTAATGTGCAGACTATTTTTTAACGCCACTTACAGCATAAAAAATATAACACAATACAAATATAAATGCTATTAAAATATTTATAGCATCAATTAACACAACATATCAGCTAGTCAGGGGGAGCTAGAGCCATCAGAGCCTGTTGAACTGCTACTCTTTGCGCCAAATGAATAATCAGTTAATTTGAAGCATTTCACAGCATCTACCACGAACGTTTTTTTTTTTTTTTTTTTTTACGTGTAACTTTTCAGCTTCACCTTTTCGTTTCTTCCCCTTTTCATCCATGGCTGTTCTAATGTTACGTCATCTTACCTGAGGGTTCCTTGGCGAATATTTAAATATTAACATGAGCAGAGTGCACAGTCAACAGATCTAAATATGTTTGAGCCCCTTTGGGGTATTTTGGAGAAGCAATTCAGAAAACGTTTTCCTTCACCAGCATAGTGATCTGGCCTCTGCTGGCTCAAAATCCCTCTGGAGGACCACTCTGGAGGACTTTTATCGGTCATTCCCAACTCGTTTGAGTGTCCCAGTTCTATAATTGTGATGGTTTTTGTGGTAACACTTTACAATAAGGTTCATTAGTTAACATTAGTAAATGCATTAACTAACATGAACTAACGATGAGCAATGCATTAGTTACAGTGTTTATTAATCTTTGTTAATGTTAGTTAACAGAAATACAGCTGTTCATTGTGCATTCATGTTAGTTCACAGTCCATTAACTAATGTTAACTAATACAACCTTTGATTTTGGTAAATGTTGGAATTAATATTAACTAAGATTAATAAATGCTGAAGAAGTATTGTTCACATATTGTACATGTTAACTAATGTAGTTAACTAATGAACCTTATTGTAAAGTGTTACCTACAGTATGTATATGTATACATGTATATATATATATATATATATATATATATATATAGTATATACATGATTTAAATAATTATCTAATCATCTAATGTGTCTCATATGTTTACACAAAATTTACACTTTAATCTCAACTCTACATCTGAGTTAATTTCATCCATTCAAATTCAGCAATTTCAAATGCATTCTCAAATAAATTCTGATTGGTGTTCGACTCTGCAGGCAGGGTTATATATCTGATACCCACATGCATCAGCACAGGTGCTTTAAAGTGCATTATTTATTGCGTCCATTTACGCAATTGTTCTGTACTGGATACATTTGATAGGTGTGAAGTAGCCTAGTTCATGGCAACATAAAATGCAATATGATAGCAAAACTTAACAAATAAATTATTGTTTAATAAATTAAACAAGAACTCTAAACCTGCTGTAATAGATGCTGCAGTTTAGAGCTGAAAGTGACCAACTGCAGCGCCGCATTGCATGCGGATTATGGGACGGATTTGACGTTGGACAGATTATAGGAGAGAAAAGAAACTGAACCACGACAGACCACATCTGATCTCAACCAGACCACCTTCATCTGCGCGCAGCTCAAGGTGAAATTTGTTTTTTTTTTTATGACGTAGAGATGAAGCTACGTGTACTCAGTCGCGTGTGTCGAGCGAATGGAAACATATATGGGTACAGCTGGTAACCAATCGCCCAATCGATGCATCTTTACAAGTGTTCGCTCATCATAGCCTTTGCATCGCATAAATGTAGGCTATTGGAAATGGTTTTGGCCACGGGATTTTACATCGTTCAAATCAATTTGTTATTGAATGGGTGGAGATGAAGGACGAGCTGTAGCCTATTTAAAAGCCTTTTATGAACCGCCGGTATAGCTTGAAGCTCTGATGCTTTAGATAAAGCATTTTAACAGCGCAATGTTTTAAATTCTAAACGGGTAGGCTAATATTGTTCGCCCATTTTTAATTGAAGACCCATGCTCATCATAGCTGAACCCGCCAAACATTGAACATCATCAGTTAGCGGTTAGACCAGGCAGCACTATCTAGATTGCTGGTATTTGTGTTTTCAAAAAGAAATCACTCAATATTTTCTGATTTTAAAAATGATTAAAGCATTCACATGAACTTCTGAGAACAGCTCTGATTAAGTTTGTTATAATACATTGCTGTCTCCCTTTTATGAATGTCTGCAGACATGAGTCAGCTAAGGTCCCTGGCTGGTGCTCTAAGAAGCAGGAGCCAATGGATGATGGGGCACGTGGGGACAGGGAAGCGAGTTTTTGACCCACGCCGTAACTGTTCCAGCGGGGCTCCTGAGCCTTCATTGGCGGCCTGCAGCTCTAGTTATGTCGTGGAGATGTACTACGCTTGGCTGGAGGATCACAAAAACGTTCATGAGGTGCAGTGAACATCTATAGGCTACTGAAGACACTAAAACTCTGTTCCAGTTCAGAAACGGAGTGTACTTTATATATGTCTATAATTACGTTAAAAAAATATAATAATTTAGTTTTAATTTTAGTTAAAAGTAATTTTGGTGGTTTTGCTTTTTTAGTTTTATATTTTTAATTAAGTTTTAGATATTTAGTTTGTTATTTTTAGTAGGCCTATTTAAACTAAATGAAAATGAGAAATGTTGGCAAATATAGCAAGTTCTCTTACGAGAGAATCTCGTACTGCATAATATAATCTTACGCTTGGGGAAAAACCTATTTTCCACGAGATATTGAAGCCAAAAATTATCCTTAATTTTGAATTTATGTAAAACTCATTGCGGTAGCATGCAGACATAGGCAAGACGCCTCGCATGCCTATTGGGTGTCCTGTGGCAACTGCATTAGCCTATCGAGAGAGGCCCTTGGTGATTTCAGATCCAGTGGGAATAGGCGCTATGTCGATTATTTATGTCGTAAATATAGCTCGATCGGCTGATATAATCTGATTTTTCATCTCTTCAACGAAGCTCACGCATCACTGGATCTGGAGTGAAGAAGCGGCGCTGTCTGAAAAAAGCTTTCTGCGGGACAAGCCTTTGCATCTGAAGCCGCTTTGGCCTTGAGTGGGCGACGCCAACCGACTGGATGAATGTTTCCTGCAAAGGGACCGCGCATCTCTGTCTCAGCAGTATTCTCTGTGGTGGACAGTGCTAAAGATAGAGGATACCACTCTCTTCCTCCAGTAGAAGAAGCTGTAGCGGCCCATCTTTGGCCGCCCTCTGTTGGACGGCGAGCTAAGACGGCGCTACATTCTGAAGCTTGCCGTTCTGCTTCTGCTATGTACATCCACACTTATACCGCCTCTGGGCAGGCTGTATCGGCATTACACTTGATGGCCGTACTGCAGATCTTCCAAGCCGACCTTTTCCAAAAACCGGATGAGGAAGGACCGGAAGCTATCAGCGTGCCAGATTTGAAGAGTGCTACGGACCTGGCTCTTTGTGCCGCGAAATCCGCTGGACAGGCCATTGGGCTGAACATGGCATCTCTCACAGTTGCCTAGAGACACCTATGGCTGACATTATCTGAGATGCCAGACATGGAGCACGCTGAGTTCCTCGTCTCACCCATCTCCCGCAGCTGGCCTCTTTGGATCATCCGTCAAAGATTTCACGGATAGATTCGCTGAGGTTCAGAAGACATCTAGTTGCTTTTTTGCGGTGGTCCAGCAGTCCAGCGTTCACTATACTACATCCTCTTGCATACGCAACCAGGATGTTCCCTTTCAGTCGATAACGTCGGACGTAGTCGACGGTCGTCTGAATGGGATGACCTTTGAAAACACCACTAAAGCTGCCACCTTCCAGTGCCTAGATAAAAGCCTCCTGATGCCCCCATAATTTTAAGGCGGGGAAGGACTGGGCTTAGGCCAGGGAAGTCATTGCTGTTCCTACAGGACCACTGAGAAAAGAATTTCCGTACATTGAAAGGAAGGGATGTTGCGGAAGCCACATCCAACTCGGAGGGAGGTAACGTGGAGAATACACATGAACTGGTCGGATGACCGGGCTGTACAGCATATGGAATGTCACTGGGGTCGCTCCAGCCTATTTTGGGGAGACTCACCGGACAGTGACGGCAGAGCAGACTCTGCCGAGGGAAGGGGGGGTTGGGGAGGGGGGCTCTGGGGTGGCGAGCTGAGAATCAGCGTGGCCTGCCCCGAGATACCAATCCTCCAACCAAAACTGAACGGGACACAGTGGAGTTTCCAACACGCACGTTGTAAACAACAGCACTCTTCAGAGACATCAAATCGATCGGCTCTGAAGTGAAAGGCAACTAGCGTGTGCATCCATTGGCTCATTCAATAGTACTCAAAGATCATTGGCTCTCTGGCTCGACTGATCCCCATTCAGTCGACCGCCGACTACGTCCGACATTATCGACTGAAAGGAAACCGAAGTAACATTAGTAACCGAGTACATTTTTTTTCATTATAATATATTTTTTCAGTTAATGTTTTTTCAAGTAAGGAAAATGTTTTTTATGGTTTTAGTTTAAGTTTGTTAACTATAACAACCCTGATTTTCATTTATGCATTTGGCAGACGCTTTTCTGCACAGCAATTACACTGCATTCTGGCTATAGACCTTATTTACAGCAGCACCATATTTGATTTTTAACAGCAATGAAACTGAGGCTTTGAGGGACAGACATAAACCTATTTTTAACTGTTATTTAATATGTTTTTGAATTGTTCTGCTGACAAAACAGTGCAAAAATATTTTTCCAAGGACTTTCAGTTGACAATAAACTCCAGAAATTATGAGCTGCAGAAAATGAGCTTTTTGCTTTGAAGTAATAAATAAGAAGATTTACCCTTTTGAAATATGTTCTTGTTATATTTGCAACAGTCTTGGGATGCATACTTCCGTAACGCCCAAGCCAGCAGTTCAGAGGAGTCTGGAGAAAAGCGTCTTTCTGCACTGCTCCAGGGAAGAGGCCAGTCTCAGACACCTGCCATGTCACAGAAGGTGGTGGAGGATCATTTGGCCGTCCACACTCTTATCAGAGCCTATCAGGTAAAGTGAGTAGCTCTGTGTTAAGGCCTGTTCACATCAAGAACGAGAACTATAACGATAACCATAATAATAGGATAGTTGCCAACGATTGGAATCACTTTCAAAATGATTTTTTTTTTTCTAATCCAAATCCACCCGAACATTTGAACATTTTAAGCTTGAACATTTAAAGCACCAGATGACATAACTTCAGCACACACGCTATTATAGTTATCATTATCTTCATTGTTGTCATTCTTTGGACAGAGAATCAGAGACAGAAATGCAGAATTACAGGGGAGGTTTTTCAATTGAGAGAATCTAATACACATTAAATTATTTTTATAATCGAATCCAATCATTTTCACTAGCACTGGATTGCAACAAATCAAAGACGCGCATGTACATCCGTACTGTGTAGTTATGCAAATCACGTGATTAATTCAAACCTAATTAGGCTAGCTTTTTTCACTTTTGAAAATAAAAATATCAAAGAGATTGCTTGAATCAAAACAGGTGGTAACATTTTCCCTGCTTCCTCTAATTAATAAGATGAAGTATCATAGGGATTTATTAAATTCTGTCTTTTGGCAAAGCCAGCATTTTCTTTCCATCTCCTGTTTGCCAGCCTGTTGGGATTGTATGTTTAACTTATTGTGAATCCTTATGAGATTTGTTAGTCATCTGACACATTGGTTCATGTTTGTGTGGGTCAGATATCCTCTAGTTACTTTCTGGCTCAGACTTGCTTCTGGTACTTTCATGCTTTTCTTTGCAAATGGAGAGAGCAAATCACATGGCGTCATTGCGTTTTACCCCCTTTAGGTACGTGGTCACCATGTGGCCAGGCTGGACCCTCTTGGCATCCTTACTGCCGACCTTGACTCCTTTGTTCCCTCAGATTTGATTACATCAATTGACAAGCTTGGTAAGATTATATCCATTTAGCATATTTCCCGCTTATATTTAACTTCATAATTCTTACAAACACTCACTTCCTTTCACTGTCCTACTAAAAGATCTATGTCGTCATGTGCGTGTCGTCATAACGCAACTGTGCCTCCGGCGACCCGAGTTTGATTCCCTGCTCGGGGTCCTTTGCCAATGTCCATTGTGAGGTCCTTTGTTCCCCCTCTCTCTACCCCATGCTCTACTTTCCTATTCAATAAAGCCACAAAAGTCCAAAATCATAACTTTAAAAAAAGGGGAAAAAGGAGGATATTTGTCCTGAAGATGTATAATAAATGCTGACTTAGTTCCTTGCTTTGGGCTCATCCTTATGAGCGTTTTTTGTTATTATTCTGTTTCCTTAGCCTCTCCCTCACCACCATTCAATACTGCAGCTGCTGAATAATACACTTCTCTTTGAATAGAAACTCATAATTACTGTTAAATACATTGTATTTTACAGATTTGATGATATGACAATGTCATTTTCTTTTGTCCAGTCATAAAACATGCAATTCACACACACATTGCTGCATTGCTTATTGCATGTATTACATTGTATATGAAAAAGGCATAAACAAATCTTACCTTTAGTTTTTTATGAGAAGGCAAGGTTAGCTCAGGTTGTAAAATGTCATGTGGTATGGCTCCTCAAAAATGTGATGCAGTGTATATGATGATTCTTGATAATTATAATAAAATATTTTAAATGACATTAAATGGCAAGTTATGAAATTGAAACTTCTCTAGAAAATGTTTCATATAAAACCAACATAAATACAAAGAGTTTATTTCTAAGAACTTAGATTTTATATGTACGGTATATTCTTCATCATGGACAGTCTTACAGTATGTCACTGAACCACAAATGTCAGACTTTAAAAAAAATATAAAAATATATATATATATTCATCTTTTATTTAATCTACACATACTTTCAATCTTTATCTTTGTTGTTTATTTTGTGTAACGTCAGCGCTACAGTTCTTGCTTGCATTGCAAGCCAACACAAGCTACCGGAGCTGTGTCTAATGTAATTGGTGACTGACCTTGCCAACCCCAGCCACTGTGTTTATACGTCACTGTAGCAACAAAGCTGCACCCATCCGCTGCATACATCTCATTTTAATTACGAAAGGAAAATTAGATTGTTGGAGCCTACTGAAAAAACTCTTTCATTGCATAGTGAGGACTTCCAGTTATTAGACCATTCATCAAAAGACAAATTGTGAGCCCCATATCATTAAAATGTGAAATATTAACCAATAAACATGCTGAATGTATAGAATTTGTGAATTCTCGGCACATAAAACCAAACACTGAGCTGTTTCTGAGATGTTCCTGCATGTGTATTTAATCTTTTAGATCAGTCTTTTCATTTTAGCTCAGGGCTTCCGAAGACCATTGGAAGTTGCTTCCCCAACCTCATAATCAGAGCTGATAGCACTTCATGTTATATAAGGATCAAGATTATTGTAATGAAGTTTAGTAACACTGCCAGGACCAGTGCTTGAGTTTTTGGTTATTTGGTGACTCATAGAGCTCGATTAATGGAAAGGGGAGAGAGAGCATGCAGTTGTGTAAGTGGTCTACAAACAATTCCTCATTTGGCCATTACAGATTCCCCAGTCTCAGACAGCGACAGGGGCTGGAAGGGAGAGCTATGCCCCAGACTCAATCGCAAGCACAGGTTAATGTTATCTGAGATAAAGGCCCATAAATCTTCCTCTTTGCTCCTGTCAGGTCCTATTGCCTTTAGTGTCGCCAGAGTAGAAGGATGTAGCACATGATCTCACAACAGATCGAAAAAGAGAGAGTAATACCCAGTGAGAAGACCTCTCAAAACATGCCTCTTTTACCTCACTACTCTCTCAATGTGTCGGTCAGTGTTTGTCATAGCTTTTCCTATAGCCTTTTCTTTCGTGCAGCTAATGAGGGGCGTGTATTGGACCAGAAGGCACTTAATTTCTGTATGATGCATCTTTCCTTTTTATCTGTACTGTGGCTTTAATTACATTTGCACCTGTCTCCTCTTGTGTGTGTTCCTCTCTTGAGGAGACACAGTCTTACTGATAGACCCCAGTGTTATCTACAGGATGCATTTGCAAACTACCACGATTGCATGGTTTTCTTTCACCGTTTAGGGGTGTAACTACCATCAAATTGGTAATCATGTTAGTTAGGATTGACATATAAGGGCACCAGGAAGTGACTGAAATGGTTGAAAATGTGTCAAAAAAAATTTGCTGCAATAATTATAAAAATCTAGAAAGCTTTGTGTGGGTCTTTTGTGTTTCATGAACAACCTGTGAAAAAGCCTGTTTCCTCTGCTTATTTACTAACATGAGTAAATAATGAATGTATGAATATATCAACACAAAATAAATGATCGCCAAAATGTCTGAGAATAACATAGTTGGTAGTCTAGGGCTAATTCAAGTTTCGAGTTTAATTAATTTATAAAGCACATTTAAAAACAGCCACAAGACTGGCCAAAGTGCTGGACAAGATATCTATACAAATCCTAAATATACACACTTTAAAAATGTGTAAATAAAACCCCAGAGAAAACAAATATATTTTTATATTTATTTATTTATTTTTATATTTATTATATGCACTCTTATCTCTAAGGGCAGGTTGTTCCATAACCGTGACCCAACCACAGAAAACGCTCCATCCCATCTACGTTTGAGTCTAGAAGAGACTAGAAGGAGGTTTTAGTCACTTGATCTTATAAGCTTCTGGGAGGCGTATAGTAAGTAGATATGAGCATGGTTATGGAGACATTTATATACAAATAAAATAATCTTAAATTCTATACTGAATAGACAACCAGTGAAGATTTCTTAGAATTGGAGTAATGTGATCATATTTACAACTTTTGCGACTAAATCTTGCTGCAACATTTTGGATCAGTTGAAGGTTGAGCGAGTTGTGACTTGGAAATACTGCAATACAATGAGTTGCAGTAGTCTAAATGAGAAGAAATAAAAGCATGAACAGCCATCTCTAGTGGTTTTTCAGTTAGGAAGTGTTTAATTTTAGACAAAAGACAATCTAATTACGGAAGAAATTAGTTTGTCAAGTTTTAAAGGCTCATCTAAAAGGACACCCAAATTCTGCACATGCTTAGATCTAAAGGCAGATAAGCTCCTCAAATCGATGATGGTGGTCTTAAAATTATCTTAAATATATATGTGGGTGTTGTCAGCATAAAAATGGAAGGAAACACCATGTCTTCTTAAAATAGAACCCAAAGGTAACATGTACAGAGAAAATGGAGGGCGCCAAGATCGAGGCTTGTGGGAGGCCACAGGAGAGGTGCGACAGAAGAGGAGAAATTACCTATCTTGACCAAAAACATTCTGTTCGATAAATAAGACTGAAACCACTTGAGAACAGTACCTTTTACCCCGACTCATGACTTTTACCTTTAAATTAGTGTGGAGTGATCAACAGTTTCAAATGCTGCAGTTAAATAGGAGTCACCTTGTTCAGTCAGTAATCTCAAGAGTATAGTATATACAGTAAAGTATATCATTATTTAACAACTATACAATAAATATTTTTGACAATTATTAATGACCGCAATCACATTTTAGTGAATAATATGGTAATTCTCGCTTTTTTCTTTACTAACCTCAGAGTTTTGATTAGAATACATCACATTCTTTCTGGTGCTTGCCACACAAGTTTAAACATTTCAATGCAACCAAAGCAAAAAAAAAAATTCTGCATACACAAATTAAGGGAACTCCACGCAGCTCCCCTACTCTCTATTATAAATGTTTGACTTCCACCTTGTCTTTGTCGTAAAAAGCAACAACGAACACAGCATGATGAGCTGTGAGATCCAGATTGTGATTAAATGACTCTTTTGAACCAGTTCTTTTTAATCATCAAAAATTGATTTAATCAATCAAAAAACATATTTACAAGATTTGTTTGTGTGTGTGAATGAATAATGATATTCTAAAAGAAATGTTAAGTGTAAAGGAAACTGTGTGTTGATTAACTTGTTGGAACCATAATCAACAGATCTTTACTTCAATTTAAATCATAATGTTTGGTTTAAAAAGGAATATTGTGGGGGTCATATTACATTTCATCATAGCATTTCTTTGTTGTTGCCGTTTTTTCTTTAATATGCTTCTCCTCTTTTAATTTTAGAGTCGTACGGCTTGGGAGAATCTGATCTCGATAAATCATTTCAGTTGCCACTAACCACATTTATTGGGGGAAATGAAAGCACACTCCCACTGAGAGAAATCATACACAGACTTGAGGTGGGTAGATGCTGGATTACTGTGATATCACCCAGTATTTGAGAAGAAACACTCCTTCCTCATTTCTCATTAGCTGGTTTTGTGACTGGATTGATTCAGATATGACATTCACTAGCTATTCTGAAAGGATGTAATTTGAGTAAATATGACAAGCTCATCGCTTATATTATGATGATGTTTAATTATACTTCAAAAATGAATGGATTAATAAATAAAAGGGTAAACTGAATTTGCTTGGAATGTTCCAGACATCATACTGTGGACATACTGGAGTGGAATTCATGTTTATCAACAATATGGAGCAGTGCCAATGGATCCGACAGAAGTTTGAATCTCCAGGAATCATGATATTTTCTGACAGAGAGAAGAGGACCTTGCTGGCCAGGCTGGTTCGCTCAACACGGTGCATATCCTTAAAATAATGTACTTTGTGTTTTTTGGTTCTTTATTAGATACTTATTTTTTCTTAGCTTAAACCACATTTTTGGAAGTCATCGTTGTGTCTGTGTGAAATATATTGGAATTAATATACGTTTAAATTGGAAATTCATTTTATTCTTTTTAATTTAGCAAAGTAAAGCTGACAATGAAAGAATGTTCTATATTAATGATTCATTGTTCTAGGTTTGAGGACTTTCTTGCTCGCAAATGGTCTTCAGAGAAACGTTTTGGTTTGGAAGGCTGTGAGGTCCTCATCCCTGCCCTGAAGATGATCATTGACAAGTCCAGCGAGGCTGGTATAGAGAGTGTAATTATGGGAATGCCTCACAGGTACCTTGAAAACCTGCTCCATCCAATCTCAACCTGCTTTTATGAATTCCCCCCAGATATAATAACACAACCTTTGACCTTTGAAACAGGGGGCGACTGAATGTCCTGGCCAATGTAGTTCGCAAAGATTTGGATCAGATATTCTGTCAGTTTGATTCCAAACTTGAGGCTGCAGATGAGGTAATATAATTTCATGTGATGAAAGATGCTTTTGTCATATCGGATCTTGTCTTATTGTGCTTCTGATGTACGTTTCGCACTTTAATCTATTCCAGGGTTCAGGAGACGTGAAATATCACTTAGGGATGTACCATGAACGGATCAACAGGGAAACGGATAAGAATATCACCTTGTCTCTGATGGCTAACCCCTCTCACCTGGAGGCAGTAGATCCTGTCGTTCAGGGCAAGACTAAGGCAGAACAGTTCTACAGAGGAGACACGGAAGGAAGGAGGGTTGTACTTTTATCTTCAGATTATCTTTAAAGATGAACCTCTGCAAGACATAATCACATATTCAGCTTTTTCTGCTGTTTAATGGCTCATCATTTGGCATGTTGGATGAACACACACCAAACCTGCAATTTTAAGTCATCAATTCCTTCCTTTGCAGGTGATGTCCATTCTCATGCATGGTGAAGCTGCATTTGCGGGTCAGGGAGTCGTATATGAAACCTTCCATCTCAGTGAACTGCCTTCATATACAACTCATGGCACCATCCATGTTGTAGTCAATAATCAGGTTAACACCAAACATCAGATTTTCCTATTAGAATCAATTTGAGGAGTAGCTTTTTGCTAAACCTTAACCCCCTGACCTTTCAATATGTTGTATGATTGATGAGTGTTATCTGATGTTACCAGATTGGATTCACCACAGATCCCCGAATGGCACGGTCCTCTACTTACCCAACGGATGTGGCCCGTGTGGTCAACGCACCCATCTTCCATGTCAACGCTGATGACCCAGAGGCTGTGATGTATGTGTGCAAGGTTGCTGTAGAATGGAGAAACACTTTCAACAAAGATGTGGTGATTGACCTGGTAAATACTGTGAAGACACATCACACATATAATTAAAATATCACTGAACCTTAAAATAAATAGGACTACTATAATGCTTGATTACACAAGATCAATTTTTCTGGTTTCAGAATCACAATCTTTTCTGTTACACTTAGGGGTTTTAAGTAGGGGAGTGTGAAGATACTGCAGGGGGGGCCATGGACTGATATTTTGAACAAATCACAAATACAGATACAGATACAGATATGAATACGAATGAATTAAGAATACACATATGACCCGAAGGAAGCATATGGAGAACACTGGGGTGTCAGCAGCCGCAGGTGGAATGTTTTAACCCCAGTGGTGGCAAGGTGGCTTGCCAAGGGAAAGACACATGCTCAGAGAGGCTTATGGAGGCCAATGCAACCAGGAGCGCTGTCTTCATTGACAGGAACTCCTGACAGCTCCACTGATTGCAAATGCTCAAAGGGAGCACTCTGCAGGGCAGTTAGAACCACTGAGAGGTCCCAAGAGGGAACGAGAGGAGGGTGAGGAGGATTCAGTCTCCTCGCTCCTCTCAGGAACCTGACGATCAGATCATGCTTCCCCACAGACTTACCTTCGATAGGGTCATGGTGTGCGGCAATAGCGGCAACATAGACTTTTGAGGGAGACAGCCTTCGCTCTAACCCATCTTGAAGGAAGACACTGATCGAATATCTCCGGGGGTCTTCTCGGTGAGAGGAGCACCAGTTGACGAAGAGGTTCCACTTCAACGCGTAGACGTGTCTCGTGGATGACACTCTAGTGGAAGTGATGGTAGCCACCACCGCTGGTGGTAGGGTACTCAAACCTACCTTGTGCCATCCAGGAGCCTCACGTGGAGGTTCCAAAGATCGGGGAGAGGGTGCCACAGGGTGCCCCATCCTGAGAAAGGAGGTCCTTCCTCAGAGGAATTGGCCAGGGAGGTGCTGTCGCGAGGAGTACAAGTTCAGAGAACCAGGTCTGGTTGGGCCAGTGTGGCGCAACCAGAATGACCTGCTCCTTGTCCTCCCTGATCTTGCACAGGGTCTGTTCGAGAAGGCTCACTGGCGGAAACTCATATTTGCGCAGGCCCCGCAGCCAGTTGTGCGCCAGTGCATCCATGCCGACCGTGCCCTCGGTCAGGGACTAAAACCGCTTGCAGTGGGACGAGTTGTGGGAGGCAAACAGATCTATCTGTGCATCCCCGGACTGATCCCAAATCAGTTGAACCGACTCGGTATGGAGTCGCCATTCTCCAGGAAGAGGCTGAAGCCGTGAGAGCTCGTCGGCTGCACAGTTCAGGACTCCCGGAAGATAAATGGCTCGAAGCGACCTCAGATGCTTCTGACTCCATAAGAGGTGGCGGGCAAGTTGCGACATATGATGGGAGCGTAGACCACCTTGTCGGTTGATGTACGCTACTGGCACAGTATTGTCTGATCGGACTAGTACGTGATGGTTCTTAAGCAGCGCATGGAAGCGATGCAGAGCGAGATGTACTGCCAGCAACTCGAGGCAATTGACATGCCATAGGGGCTGGGGTCCTGTACAGGAGCCCGTGGCAGCATGACCATTGCACATGGCGCCCCAGCCCGTGCCTGGAAACTCCAGCCCGTAGAAACGGGGTAAAGGTACTGGTACTCGGAGCAAGTCGTGTTGCCATGCCCACCTTGGGACTCAGTCACGAAGCCAATGCTGAGCAGCGTTGCTGCGGCTACAAATGCCATATGCCCCAGGAGCCTCTGAAATAACTTCTCTTGCGCTTAATTGCCAGCCAAGTCAGCAGTGGCTGAGTGAAAAAGGCGACCAAGTCGAAACCGAGAAAAAAGATCCTCTGCACGGGACAAAATTTACTCTTTTCCCAGTTGATCCGAAGGCCCAGATGAGCTAGGTGCCGGAGCACTGGGTCCCTGTGTTCGCAGACCTGGTCTCGAGAGTGAGCTAGAAAAGCCAGTCGCCGAGATAGTCAAGATAGTCGTCAGGGCACGGTCAAATCACACCCTGACAAAGGTTCTTGAGATTCAACAGAAGTTTAGTGGGTAATGTGTTATGGAATTTTTAATTTCAAGTCACCATTATGATGGTCCGTGTTTGCTTTAGTTGGGCTCTTAACCCGTTTCATTTTTTAAAGTTAGCTTAGATTTTCTCTGATGGTTTTGACTTTGTGTTTAAAAAGCACATTTGTTACTGCAAGAGAAAACATGATCTGCTCACAATATGTTTTTATGATGACATTATCATCATATAGTAACCTGAGTCACTGATGTTATTCAGAGACTAAATCTTTGACTATATGCTTTATGTCTGATGTTAGCATTGATGATTGTAGCCCTGAGATTCTACAGTTTGAGATCCAACAGCAATATGAACATTTTTGAAAATACTGTGTGCACAGATGTCTTGTGTTTAGACCCACAGACATCAAGAATCAGCAGATGAATTTTAACAATGGTGACAATAAACAAACTAGTGACAAACAAATCAACTCTGAGCATCAGAAAACAAGCTACTGACATTATAACAAAACAATAGCAAAATAAAAGAAAACAGAAAAAAACATGGAAAATTACTGGACAATTTAGCTGTTATAATTTGTTCATGCTGCAGTGCATGATGTGAGCCATGAAAAAAAAAAAAAAAAAAAGCAAAAAATTCAAAGCAGCATTTTTGCACCATTAAATGGCACTTCGGATATTTGATGAATCGCCTTCCGCAATAGCGTGCTATGAGGCCATTAGCGAAGAATACATGGGATTCTGTGTGGCATAGCCTCGCCAATTATTTTGAACACTGAGGAAATTTATTTGAAATCTTATATGGGAATTAAACCAATTTAAACTGTATCTAAAATACATTAAAGAAACTTTCAATCCTAACTGATAAAGATGTAGAAAGAATGGAAACGTGAAAATCGGACAGACACTGGCAATGGTATGTTTTTTCTTTATACAACGATATAAATTGTTTGAATGAATGATACTGAATTTGTATCTTATCACATGTAAATTGACATTGCGGATGTGTTTTATAGGTGTGTTACCGGCGGTTTGGACATAATGAGATGGATGAACCCATGTTCACTCAACCCCTCATGTACAAACAGATCCGCAAACAGGAACATGTGCTGAAGAAGTATGCAGACAAGCTCATCTCTGAGGGAGTTGTAACACTGCAAGAGTTTGAGGTTTGTGTCTCACTCTATGGAAATCTCATTATGGTGTCATTATGTAATGTGAAAATGTCCACCTGCTGTTGTTCCTCCCACAGGTCACCCTAATTGACCTTTTTAACTCATCTAAAAAATCTTTTCCACAGCTGTTGTTTTCTTGGCCTATTAGGGAGCGATGGGTTTCCTGTGCCGTTTGTATATTGTTTCCTGACAATTGATGGAGGCTGTGTTCAGATGCTCAGCCAATGTCTTTTCACTCTGGCTATGACACGTTTCATACTTCACCCGATGACCCAGGCTTTCATTCCCTGGGCTCAAAGATAGCCTCCCCTCCCAACCACCCTCAGATTTGTGTCGCAGTAGAAACCACGATTGTCGGACCAAACCATCCCTCCAGTGCGGATAGCTGACACCTTGTCTCGCCCGGCGACAGCTCGTTTTATTTACAACTGCATCCCTGTCACTCTTCACTCGCTGACATAGCTCTAGGGATTTCACTTAGAGAATAAATTGTGACTGAAATCTTGCTGTTTTCTCTACGCCGTAGCACATAGGTGCCATGAATCATTAATTAATAATTTGTCACAAATGTGTCATGTGTCTGGGTTTTTGATGAATATAGTGGATGGCGGGCTACTGCTGTACTGTGAATTGTTTCCAGGAGGAGGTTGCTAAATATGACAAGATCTGTGAGGAGGCGTATACCAGCTCTAAAGATGAGAAGATCCTACACATCCGCAACTGGCTTGACTCTCCGTGGCCAGGTACATATTGAGGACTTTATAGATTCTAGGCATTTCAGTGAAAATATAAGATGGATTTAGACCAGTGTTTCTCAACTGTTTTGAGTCCAAGGCCCTCCATTGTGCTCATCAGTATTCGAAAGCTCCTTAACTTGTTTTAAGCTATGGGCACTCTAGTTTTTGTAAATTTAAGTAGTAACTAAAATAATCGGAATTAAAAACTACGTTTTAGGAGCTGAATGTTCTTTACAGTTCAAAATCTTTAACCAATGTATTTTCCAGTCATTCGTGATGTATTGGATATGCATAAAGAATAAGGTTTTTTTTTATTATTCATTTCAATGCCTATGGCATTTTAAGATAATTTATGACTTTTCTTGAAATCACATCCTATATCCATGTTTTCCAAGACATCCTGCAAAACAAACAGTTCTTAAAACCTAGGAAATATATTGTTTTTTTTGTTGTTGTTGTTGTTTTAGCTTGATTTTAATGCTTGTTTTCTGTTTTGTCTTATTTTAAATGATTTTAAGCCATCTTTAGGCCCCCTAGTCTTGTGGGCCCCAGTTCCCTGTTTGAGAGCCACGGTTTCAGACCCTTCAGACCCTGTGCTCTGTTTTGTGTTTAAGACTTCTTCAAACCAGATGGAGAGCCAAAGAGCATGAGCTGCCCTCCCACCGGACTAAGTGAAGATGTGCTCATGCACATTGGTTCGGTAGCCAGTTCAGTCCCTCTAAAGGACTTTGCCATTCATAGTGGTGAGTTTTCAGGTATTTTCCTTGGTAAGCATTTAATTCAGAAGTCTGTTTGTGATGGTGTTGAATTCACAATTTCTAAACTTTCCTAAATAGTTTGTAACTATTGACATCAATATTTGGAAAAGAGCCTTTTGTATTCCACAGAGTACAAGGAAGTCAGTCATACAGGTTTCAAAAAGACGTGAGGGTTGACATAATTTTCACATTTGTTTGACCTATCTGTGGAGGCTGTTACTAGTCAGTTCATCAACTAAAAAACTAGTCAGTTCATCAACTAAAAATCGTATGGAAATCAATTAGATTATATCTTACTGAATGTACTGAGTTTTAATCACTAGGGACAAAACACTGGAAAGTGACATCAAAGCATTGCAGGACGATGGTGGTAATGGTGTGGAACATCAGCAAAGCTCTGACAGATGATCCTTACACTTCTGATATAGCAATGTCTCATTGCTCCTCACGGGTCATCATTTTCTTTCACTGAGCAGCGGACACATGGGAGCTATAGTGGATTGATGAAGTTGCACTATGGGACCATTGCACTTAAAGAGCCGGCTCCAATCTGGCAGCCTTAAATTCTGCTAAATCACCCGAACTACCATAGCCCTCCAGCTAAACTCTGCTTATTGCCTGCCTCTAAGCACAACTACCTCAGAGCATCAAACCATCCCAGCGGCAAACGTATTTCTGACAAAGAATAATGCTTTTTTCCAATGGGATATTGTGTATGAAAAACCAAGCTACTCTTATGGGTTTGCTTTTCATAAGCTTAAACTACATTCACCAAACTTGACACATTTGTTCAGTATTTTCTGACAGCGTTAATGTATTTTCTCCTAAACTTTTTTGTTGGTCCTATTGACTTCAGATGAAAACGTTTACTATCTAGCTTTTCTATCTATCAAACAGGGCCAACAATCTTTGTCTTGACAAACTTTCCCTTTCTAGAACTTTGCATTTATTTTCAAAGTGTCACACAACAAAATGTACAAGTGAAGTCTATGACGTTCTATATGTTTTGTATCTGTGTTAATTTAGGCTTGTCACGTATCCTTCGAGGCAGAGCGGATATGGTTTCAAAACGCACAGTGGACTGGGCCCTGGCAGAGTACATGGCCTTTGGCTCTTTGCTGAAGGATGATGTTCATGTGAGACTCAGTGGACAAGATGTGGAAAGAGGAACGTTTAGGTAAGAGAATCAGTCCATTTCCATTACACACTACGGTAGCCGCTCCCTTTTGTTCTCTTTTATGAGTTATGGATGAGTTATGGGGAACCATAAGTTGTTATCTTATATTCGTTGTCATTTATCAGGCTACTTTCTAGTATTTAACTGTCTAGATTTCTGTCACTAAAAATAACCAAGTATATATTTTCTGCCTTATGGCTCCATTAAAACTAAAATGTCAACACATTGACAAATGACGTCAGCTTGTCGCACACGTATAGAGTCCCCTGGGAGTGATAGAGAGACACCCACATGGTGCCGTCACGGCACTGCTTCTGAATGAAACCCGTTTTATGTCACCCCACAGCAGTATTCACATACTTACATGTCTGTTTGTTTCTATCTTGTGCAAGAAATTTTGCCACCCAGGTTTGTTTGAAATGGTACACACATCAATGAAACTCTAAGACATGATCACGGCTGAATTTATCACACCACAAACGGCATTACTCACTGGTTCACTTCATAGTTTTTGACTCTACATTTTATCTCAATGGTCTCCAGTGGACAGTTTTATGCTTTGCTTAGAACATAATGAAGGAAAAATGCGAGTGAAAAGACGTCAGCAACAGAGCTTCTGTGTGTTATGAGCCTTTTTATCAAAGTAGATTGTCTGCTGGTGCATATATTATTTTCTTCTCATGTAAAGGCTCTGGGAGTGAACATATTGGTGTGCTCCAGTCTGCTGGTTCTGCTTTTTACTCAGGGAGTTAATGGCTATGAGTAATTGATTCAGTCTACTGTGTTTGGGAATGCACTGAGTACTGTGCTCTGGTCCCTTGATTGATGAAACCAACACACAGCTGATGCACTGTTTACTCCCCAGATTCTCTGTTTTTCCAGAGCTAACCCTCAGGGACAGGACACTTCAGCTTAAAGAGCCACTTTTGATTTACATTTGTGATTAAATTAGCAGAGCAGACAGACCCCAATTAGGCTGAACATATTCCTTGTGGTTACATTCTCCATTTCACAACATTATCTAAGAAAGGACCCCATATTTGTCAATTGTGAATCACCCAGTTTGTTGGGGAAATGCGTGGTTCATACTAAACGTTATGTAACGCCTATATACTCATTGTAGGTCGTGACAGCATTGCGCAGGACATCATTACTGTGATATTTAAAGGACTTTAAAGATTGTCTAATCGCAATGGGTCTGATGGCTGGTTTGAACATCGCATCAGAGAGAGCCAGCAAAACATATCACATCTCCTGTCTCAAATCCACTGCTGTCCATGATCTCTCACACTGATAGGATATGAAGATTTAGAGTGCCTCTGATCTGAGGTTTGACATTACAGCTTAAGAAAATATTCCTTACAATGGCATTCCTTAAGCTGTTTCTAAAATTCACAGAATTACATAAATTATATACAGACACTACTGTACAGAAGTTTGGGGTCGAAAAGATTTTTTAAATGTTTTTGAAATAAGTTTTTAATGTTCACCAAGGCTGAATTTGATCAAAAATAGTGTAAAAACAGTTTTGTTAAAACATTTTTACAATTTAATTCTGTAACTCTCTTTTATTATTTTAAAATCTGATTTATTCCTTAAATTCCTAAAATACTTTACCTTAATTTAATGCATCCTTGATGAATAAAAGGATTAATGTCTTACAAAAATAACTAAATAACTAATATTACATTAAATTGATCCAAAGTGACAGTGTTCACACACACACATCGTGTGTGTCATTGTCTGTATATTTTATATGACTTTTTATAAATATATGTAAAAATAAATAAATAATAAAATACAAAATTAAGCAATAGTTATCTTTGTTATGCCCTTTTTAGTGATTCTTGAATTTGTGATCTCATTTTTGCAGTCACCGTCACCACGTCTTGCATGATCAGGAAGTTGATAAGCGCTTCTGCGTTCCGATGAACCACCTGTGGCAGAACCAGGCTCTCTACACTGTGTGCAACAGCTCCCTGTCTGAATATGGGGTTTTGGGTAAGAACCACCTGTGCTAATTTTGCATCTGGTTATCAATCAGAGTGCACAGAAATTTGAATCATCCAAGGTATTCCCTGTTTCTGATACCTGTAAAATTACCTTCAGAAATGATCAGCCTGTATAGAACAAGCTGTTTTCTCACACTATTTACCGACACTTTGCAAAAGACATACTCAGAATACTTTGGACATAAAAAACACAATAAATGATTCTGAGACATGTTGATTTTGATTAGGTTTCGAGCTTGGTTTTGCAATGGCAAGCCCTAATGCCTTGGTGTGCTGGGAGGCTCAGTTTGGCGACTTCCACAACACAGCCCAGTGCATCATTGACCAGTTCATCTGTGCAGGCCAAGCCAAGTGGGTCCGTCACAATGGCATCGTTTTACTGTTGCCCCATGGGATGGAAGGAATGGTGAGTCTACTGATGACATGGCCTATTATATATTATAAGTGGCATAATATTACACGGAAGAACTTTCATAGGCAAGAACTTCCATTTTAGACATTCTACTAACTATACGTAACTTTGCAACTAGATGTCAGCTACCAGTCATTCTCCAATGAGAGTTAGTTGACATGAAGTTACAAATGAATGACAGTTAGTTGCAAAGTTGCTAAACTAAACTAAACTAGACTATGGAAATAAAGTGTAACCATTGTATGTTGCTAAACATAAAAGATGCAAAGCTATTTGTTCCACTTGCAAATGTAGGCTTATTGAAAACACACAAGACAACTGCATAAATATCATGTATTATTTATCTAATTTCTTATTTCTCTTATAAGACCATATCAAATGAAGTGTTATTTTTAGAGTCATTTATGTAGATCATCGCAGTCCTATTGACCACTGAATCTAATTTCCTGCAGGGATAAAACACAGGGTAAACCCTTTTTCAATCCTTTCCTTTACTCAAAAGCAGAATAGCTGTACTAGAATCAATAATGATGACTCAAGCTTGGACTGAGCCGATAAATGAGGCTATAATTCTTTAGCTTAGTGTGGCGTTTGATAGACCTACACTCATTAGCGCTGGTGTGTTTGCACTAATGAGCAGGGCCCGGAGCACTCGTCAGCACGGCCTGAGCGCTTCCTGCAGATGAGCAAGGATGACCCGGATCGCTATCCTGTAAGTAGCTTTTCTGCTCATGCCTCGTACAGATGGCCACAGGTAGTTTGAAAACGGATACACTTTACTGATTGCCAATTTGTTTGATGCTAAAAATAGGCTAGTTCATGTTAATACAAGTTTGCTTTTTAGTCTAGCAGTATGTCAGTCCCAGTGGCAGGTAAAGACATTCAGGAGACATGAATGGTACTAATTACAACCATGATCAGTATATACAAGATGTGATCAACAGGGCTATTGAATAAATCAGCTAAAAGTAAAATCAATTCATGATTGTCCCCTTCTTGCAGAGGACGTTATTTGCAAATTCATGAGTAAAATTCTTGGGTGACAGTATCTTTGTGCTATCTATATAATTTGAATTATGTTAAATATTTTAAAAGAATGGACATCTACTGAAATATCACAGAATAATTATGTTTTTGCAGTGACACATTGTTTTTTTTTATTATTTTTTTTATTGATAAAAAAAAAGCTGCGTTTTATTTACTTCATTTAAGGAATTCACTGGAGACTTTGAGGTCCAGCAGCTCTATGACTGTAACTGGATTGTGGTCAATTGTTCAACACCTGCTAGCTACTTCCATGTGCTTAGAAGGCAGAACTTACTACCATTCAGGAAGCCAGTAAGACCAACCTTTTTCCTTTCTATGTGTCAGTATAGCATGTACAATATTATTTTTTAGTGTAGTTTGTGGATTCATTGTTCTGTCAATATATATATATATATATATGTGGCTGTGTCATTTTATTCATACACATTCCCATAAAAACAGAGATATTAAACACTCAAAGCTGAACTAAACCATCTTTATTCAATACTCCTGGGTGACTTCCATCATTTAGTACAGAATATAAAACAAGTCTTCACTTTTCTCCGTCTTTTATTGACAATACATGAACATGAATACATGGGTGACAGGCAGTGGTAACAAAAATACATAATTAGCAATGACCAATGAGTCACGTTATTGCTTGGATTTGAATCAGTGCACACATACAATAAAAAGCAAGGATGTTAACAAAAAAATTGTCAATATACTGGCAAATTAGTGATATTTTCACAGTTATGGTTGTCTTGAAAAAAAATCCTGAGTCCTCAATGGCCGAGACCGAGACCAAAAGCGGCCGAGTCGAGACTGAGAACGAGAACATCAAAAAGTGGTCTCAAGACCAAGACCGGTCTCGAGTACTACAACACTACTGTGGAGTGGGTAAAACTGTTTTTAAAACTGTTTTCTACATAACCGCAGGTAGTGTCTCATTCTAAGGCAATAAAAACATTCTTTGTACACTCTTTGTAAAAAAGTTCTTTGTACACCACTGAAAACAGTTATTGATGTCATATTGCATTTCTGTTTATAGATACTCAAAATTTTCTTTAAGCCTTAACTTTAATGTGAAAGTTTAATGTATGCCCCGCCACCTCTTTTGCTTCTGTGCCACTGCAATTGTCTAAAGTGATTCCCTGTTGTGGAGAAATGCAGAGGTTTGTGGAGCATGAGAAAATCTCTTCCTGAGTAAATTAAACGGAGAGCGTCTGGGGATGATATTGTTTGTTTTGTAAAAAACTGCTCTTAATTTACTGTTTAGCTTGATTTCACAGCTGTGTTGCAATTACTCTTTTTTTGTATTCCCCAGCCTAGATTGAAGTTTCAAAAGTTCCTAAATGCAATGAATCAAGTAGAGTTTGCCTTAATTTGACCACATTTTTATATTTTTTATTCAGCTGATCATTTTCACACCCAAGTCTTTACTGAGGCTGCCAGAGGCCCGTTCCAGTTTTGATGAGATGATCACAGGTACAAAATTCTGGTACAGAAACATAAAGCTATTTATGTGCTGTCCAGCTTTTAGTGTTTATGTGGCTGTGTCAATTTATTCATATTGCAGGGACACATTTCTTAAGGATAATTCCAGATAACAGTCCTGCATCGGAAAACCCAGAAAAAGTCAAAAGGGTCATCTTCTGCACTGGAAAAGTGTACTATGAGCTGGCAAAAGAAAGAAAACAGCTTCAGTTGGAGGAGGACGTTGCAATTGTCAGATTGGAGCAGGTTGCCATTATAGTGTCTTGATTATAAGTAAAATGGCATTGCAAAAATCCCTCTATTCACAATCAAATACATTCTTTCCTCTTAGATATCACCATTCCCTTTTGACCTCATCAAGGTTGAGGTTGAGAAGTACAGCAACGCTGAACTCATATGGTGTCAAGAGGAGCACAAGAACATGGGCTACTATGACTACGTAAGGCCACGTTTCCTCACAGTGCACCATAGGAATCCAATATGGTGAGTCTCTTTTTAAGCTAAATGTTTGGTGTAGCATAAACAAACTTTTACGCACCGAATTAAAAATATTCACACTCACTTTTAGGTATGTTGGCCGCGACCCTGCTGCAGCCCCTGCCACAGGAAACAAATTCACTCATCTGGCTGAGCTGAAGAGGTTCTTGGACACTGCGTTTAACCTTGAGGCATTCAAGGGCAGGAGTTTTTGATGCTTCTGTGTAAATTAGCCTTTAAAAATTCAATATAACTGGTATCAACGCACAATTCATTAGATAAAGTGATTTTCATGTTGCCAAATTATGTAAAATTGTTGAATTATATTGAAAAATAGAGCACAAGATGGCAAATATAAAGAAATTAGTGTACTCATTCTGTAGATTTAGCCCTAGATTTGCAGCAGAAATCATTTATCCGTCTTAAGTAATCTGTATTCTTATTTATTTTTTTGTCCTCCATAACTGTCACACTTGGCTTCATCCGGAGACATCAAACAGATGGCATGTAGACAAGTAACAATATTCTCTGTAGCTTCCTCAAAATATGCTTCCTTTTTAGACTTTAGGGTTCTTGTGGTGTTGAAGGCTTTGGGGAATGAGGACATTTATAATGTCAACATGTCTGTGATAACTTTGAAATGCTATACACACTGGGAAACAAATATAAGCAGGTAAATAAAACAATTAGCTTAAATCAAATAAGCACAAGTATCTGATGCATTGTTTTTCGGTGTAATTTTACTGTCCGCAAACTAAACCTTGTACATGGTCATACATTAGTCTTCATTCTATGGCTGCTTAAACAGTTAATCCTTGTCACTCGAGCTGGACAAAACAGCTGTAAACTGGATTTTACTTAAATCTATGCTGTAGGTAATTCATTTGATAAACACTTGCAAAAGTGAATTTAATGCAAATGTTTAAAGGGTACAAAAATTGTTAGATAACGCACATTCCTCATAGGGGAAAAAGATCCTACATTTAATTCACTGTGATAGATTGTGATGAATGATAGATGTTTCACAGCAATAATGCAATAAACTGCGTGTCAGTGACAAACGATGGATGCTTTTTATCATTAAGCATATACCTGTGTGCACATACGAGGTCTCTTCACAGGCAGTGTGCTTCCTTTATACAGCAGGACACCATTAGTGGACTCATAACATACATGCCAAAAAACTGATAATGTCAACATGGCTCACTTAAAGACTGGCTATGTTTTGAATAGTATACAATTTACAATTGCTGTGTTATATAGTAAGTACTGTGTATTGTGCACAACATGCTAATATTTTAGATAATATATATCTAAAGTATTATAATATATATGGACCATTCCACCGAATGGGTGACATTTGCTTGTTGTAACTCTTCAAAAATAAACTTTATTTTTGATCTTTTTCAACATTGAATCTAATACTACACATATTTAACTATTCAAAATATGTATTGGTCAATCTCAGGCAACTTTATTTATTTTTTTACAAGGTTTAAGCAGAATATGGATGCATGTTTTCTCAATCCTGTTACCAAAAATCATGTGTCATTTAAAAAGCAAGTTTAGAACCATGTCAATTAATTCCTTTGTTTTCCCTAAGAAATTGTTGGTTATATGTTCAAAAAATTGACATTTGTGCCAATAAAATCACTATTAAAGCAAGGTGTATTTTGATAAAAAAAAAAAAACAACAAAAAAAAAACACAAAGGCATTTTTTTTTTTCATTTTAAAGATGACCGAAACCTCAAGCTCATTTATTTTTTTTTTTTAAAATAATTCATTAAATAATAATTGTATAAATGATGGGCCAAACAAAACTGATAAAAATAGAGGTTTAATTTTATTTTTTTAGAAAAAGAAAAAAATAGTAACAGGACTGAAAGTAACAGAATTGAGTTTTTAAGCAAAAAGTTATCAAATATATGGCATATGGCCACATAGCATTGATGCTAATAGCGTGAGGACACAGCCATAGTGCCTTACTAAAAGTTCATATTAAAAAAAAAGAAATCTAATAAAAAAGTTTAGGTAACAGGACTGATTGACCTTCTCATTCATAGTTACAATTTCATCAAATATACAGAAATGAAAATGAGAGGAGTGACTTATAGTCGCCTTCAGATGATCCAGATGATGCAACTCACAGTTGAAAATGTGTCTTGTGGAATGTTCTACGTTTTTCAGAGGGGGGATGTAATAGTGAAACCCGGGGATATGACTAAAATGTGTATTTTATCTAAAATATTAGATCAAAGTTTTTTCTTTTTTCATTTTAAAGCAGTTTGGCTATAAAGTCACACAACAATGAAAGAAAAATCAGATTTCTGAAGGATTGTAATCATAATATTTCCTGGTAAAGTTTAGAGAGTTGGGACATGCAGAAAATGCCATTTTTTTGTGTTCTGTGTTGTTATTAATAATACGTTTTAAATTTTTAGTTAGCTTAATGTGCATGACATTTTGCTTAATAATAAAATATTTTTTAGAGTTAATTTTAATGCAATTTTACACATAATGTCCTGGGGTCTGAGGACAAAAATGTCACCCTTTTCGGTATAGGCTATATATATTTTCTTGTTGGCATGTCGTTCAATACACCTGCGTTCCTCACGGCGTCAATGGCCTCCTGGCACCGCGGATCAAGTCGTCCATCACCCCCTATGAGCAAAGAGGAGTTCGTAAAAAACACTTCATGATGAGCATCGCATCTCTTATCTTACAGAAAGCAGAGGTTTCTAAATGCTGGTGCAATTTACCAAACTCAAGATCAGTAATGTTGCAAGTGTAGACACACTCTTCATTGACAATGAGCTCTAATATATTCCAGTCATCTGTTTTCTCGAGGACACACTGGTAGCCAGCGTCTTTTAAGACAGCTAGGGGGAAACAAATAGCTACGTAACCATAGATTCCGCAAGATTACAATTGTAGACTATTTAGGCTAGCTGCTACTACAATAAGCGGTTAACTCGGTAGCTATAGCCTATCCATTTTTAAAAATGTAACAAAATTAATAAAACTTAAAGCATTTGACACACCCAATGATTACCTTGTAAACCGTCCAGGCGAAATGTTTTGTGCTCTACAATACCACACGACTCGTATGGACCGTACCGCAATGTTACCACTGATTTAGGCATAATTATAGGCTACAATTAAAATATATCCGTTAGCCACCACAAGGCAAGGCTTTTGTCAGAACTGCGTTTGTGTTTGTGTTACTGCTCTCCGTAGTAACCAGTGGGAGCACTGAAACAACAAGCAAACAAATCACTGGAAGCAGCAGGATACACAAAATGGATTTTCACAATAGGCCTATTTAACCCTGGGTCATTATAAACACCGAATAAATACAATGTTATCTTGATTCACTTTTTACAGTGCTCAACATTTACTAGGGGTAATTAAACAATCATACTGGATATCCATAAACTGACGCCCCGGGTTAACTTTGGTATTTGCATATTTGCACAGTGTCGGTGTCCTTGATAGGACAAACGCAGCACGCGACCTGTTTGGTCTTGCCGATGATCACATCCGCCTCAAATTTTATTGCGACTGTTTGCTACTATCACGTTTTTCGGGGTTTTTCCTGAATGGACTTCCTGAATGGTAAGTACTAGGGGAGCGCGGGGTTAAATGTAACACGGACCTTTTACATAACTGTTTGTCAGGATCAAGCAGCTTGTGTTTCCGCTCTTTTTCTCTCGCTGCTAGTAGCCTACGGTCTTCCGCGAATTTGCGGAAAGTTTTGATTTCGTGAAGATTCTGGACAAAGATTGTTTTGACACCATGCAAGCACATTTTTTTCATCATAGTTTTTTTTCGGTTTCTGAGTTGGGTGTAAGTTATACGTTTCCAAATCTAACTTTATATTGCCTTAATCCCTGTCTTGTTGGCTCAAACATAGCATCGTTTTGAAACATGTAAGCAATTCCTAGCAACTGTTAGCTAGGCTTAAAATATGTAATACACATTGGGGTTAGTTCTAACACAGTGTTACAACTAAGCCGCCAAGTGTACAATGATAATCAAATGAAAACAGGGAGCCACACAACTTTTCAGGTTTGAGTATTTATTTATACATTTAAAGGTGCAGTGCCAGTGTGTGATTTTTAGCGACATCTAGCGGTTCAGTTGCGAGTTTGCACTAAGGGCTCAGCCCAATGCTCACCCCTCCCTTTCAAAGAAGCTATGGTGGCTAAAACGGGAAAAAACATATGATCGTCTGACTGAGACAGCAGATAATAGCCAGTGTAAGCCAGACGTGTGTAACATTGTCACTGTTTCTGTACCCCAGTCCATTATAAATCACATAATGGATAAAATATACAAAGCCACAATCAGGTGCGGATCAAGGGTCTTAATATACAATATAATAATAGTTATAATCAGCTGATTGTTTTATATTAGCAGATTAGTTTACTATAAATAAACTTGTTTATTTATTAAAAATATGGCCTGTTTTTTAATGCAATAAACCCTTTAAATATTAATTTTAAGCTAATTTGTATTATTATTAATGTTATTATTATTCATAATAATAATTTTACATGCAGCTGCCACACACAAATCTAATTCAACTTCAGTGACAATATTTTATGATTTCATTTATTATTATTTATTGCTAAACTGTCCAGCTCCAGCCCTTTCCTATATCTCTATCCATGATATTGATTCATAATAGAAGGATGATTGGATGAGGCATGGATGTATCTATCTATAGATGCACAACCAATATCAAACTATACAAATAAAATAGTACTGAATTATTTGTGTTACACACAAGTGCTAAAACTAACCCCTCTGTTTGTTACAATTAACCCTGCACATGGGGTAAGTTGTAACATTTGCACTTCTGTCACTTTCAGTGCTACAGTACAAAATGGTAGGTCCTAGAATAAAACTTTGTGTTCATTTGTAGCAGAGATGTGTGTATAGGAGATCCAGGGGCCGGAGTTGGATCCAGATCTAAGAGGTGGAGATGGGTTGGATTAGTGGGGGTGTTAGGGATCAGGGGGCGGAGATGGATAGGTTTAGGGGTGGGGTTAGGGATCAGGGGGCAGAGATGGGTAGGTTTAGGGATATGTACGATGGGAGGAGTTGGATCTGGATCCAACTCCTCCCCCTGGATTTCGTGTTCTGCAGTGAGGACCACCCAAATTCCGAGCTCGAAGCCCTCCCCTCCAGACAGAAGCTGCTGCAGAGCAAATGGGTGGTGCTTTCATGTAGCTCCTCCTTGCTAAAGCTCCAGTGAGGAGGAGCAAATGTGATTAGGGCCTAATGGATAGAGCTAGCATATCCAACCACACCCTAACTCTACACAAAGCTCTATTTTTCCACCCCCAGAGCTCCAGAGAGGAGGAGCTTGTCATCATGTCATGATTCAGAGTCCGATGTGACATTCTGAAATGTTTAATTTTAACACAACCGTTTCTATGATGAATTTTAATGTACTTGGCAGTTTGCATGTCTTTTTTTTATGCTGTGCGTTGTAAAAATAAATAAATAAGTAATAATAATAATAATAAAAAACCTGTGCCAGATTAAACTATATTCCATTCATAGTTGGTGGTATGAAAAACTCAGTGCACACATCATTGGTTTTGATTAGTATATTTTATAGCATCATTAGAATACAGTGATATTGATAAATATACCATTTGTCTTTTTTAGAACTCTAACATAGAAAAATAAATATCCCAGAGTTAAAGAATATCACAGTTTAAGCACTCCACCACCAGTTTAACAAAATACATTCTGTTACATTACATCTTCACTTTCACATATTTCCCCACGGTATTCCTCATGTTTCCTCATCCTCATGTATTCATGCTCAACATAAGGTCAAGATGTGCAACTAACATATTTTATTAATGATACTAAGGCTACAATTTCTCTATATATGAGGTATAAGTATTCTCTATATAATCTAGTATAACATGATTGAGTGGTTTATTAGTTAATTTCAGCGTAGCTATTTTACTACAGTACATATTTGATCTAGTTATAAAGTGCCAAAATACATTTCTCAAGGCATAAGTTTTAGTTTTGTTTTAGTATTTTTATATCTACTTTACATTTACTATCATGACTGGTTCAACACATAGGATATACAAATTACGCACATTTAAAAATGGAATTTCACAATATAAAACATATTTTCACTTTTCACTTAATCTGTGTACATTAGACAAACATCAAATATTGTTCCTTTTTTTACATATACTGTATAGACCAACTGTGCAACATCTGTCAATGTCATTTTCAGACTTAACATAAGCACATATACAATGATTGTACTTAAAAAAGAAGCTTTTTTTCACTGTAATAAACCATTCGTTCCTGCTATTGCATTGGAAATCAAAAATCCCTGTAACTATTATTGCATTGGAAATCAAGACACCCCACATATTAGAATCATATTACAATGTTCATTCTTCGCAATGGATGATATTCTTTAAACATTTATGCACACTGACTTGTTTTTTAGAGCTCAGACTGCATTTCAAAATATATGGCCCATTGAGACAGCACACTTTAAAGCTATAATACCACATATTATATACTATAATGCCTGGTCCTGACATTTTGTTTGTATACTGCAGACCCAAAATAGACTTTGCTATATACGTTTGTTTTTTTAACAGATAGATATTTGATGTGAAATAATTTAAACAAACTTTGAAATGTGTATGTGAGACTCAAAGATAAAGTCAAATAGCAGCTTCTGGTCCTTTTCCACAGAGTCGCCATTCAGAGTTCTGTATCTTGACGGCATCACTAACCATAAAGTGACTTTGACATGATTATTAAAAAACTTGTATATATTTTAAACCTGCTTTAGGCCCTAGCAATTTATATATGCTTACTAAACAAGCAGACCAACAGTCCATGATCTCAAAGGCAGCATCATTGAGAATGTCAAGCAACTACTTTAAAAATTCCAGACTGTTCAATGTTGTTTTGGGCAAAAGCGCCATTCTTCAAAAATTCTTTTTTTGTGTTCCACAAAGAAGGAAAGTAATACAGATTAGGAACAATGTGAGGATGGGTAAATGATTACTGAACTTTCATTTTTGGGTAGACTATCCCTTTTATGCTGCCTTTGAAATATTGACAACTATAATATACTTTTAAGGGAAGCTCACACTACACGGCTTTTGGCTGGAATTTGCTGTCGCAAGCAGATTTCCAAATCATGCGACAAAACCCCTGGATCTCGGCCAAATCTGTGTTTGTTAAACTCGAAGTGATCAAGACACTATTTTCAAACCATTTTGATGTTATCGGCACGTGATCTTGGAGTGTGTGAAATGCAATTACTAATTGGAACTAATCCAGCCAGTCACAGTGCCGATGGCATAAACAGGAAATTCCCGTAATCACTTGCGCAAATTTCTCCATGAATTTATTTTGTGTGGACTGCCTCTTGACAAAATGTCTCGTAGTTTGTGCACCTCATACTATGTGCACTACTATGTCAGAACGACGACAGATGACAAGAAACCTTTTAGTGTAAGTGAGCACAGCAATTCAGTCCTGTAGTGTGACCTTGCCCTTATAAAACTGGGCAGGATTCTTAGAGACCGACCTCAGCTATAGTTTATATTTAGAAGGCAGGAGCTACTGTAAATCTGCTTTTTGAATCTGTATACTCTCATAGGCCAAATAATGCCTAACACCTTGTTACTATTTGTTTCTATCTGTATACTCTCATAGGCCAAATAATGCCTAACACCTTGTGTACTATTTGATCTACTTGTTACTATTTTCAATCTCCTTAGAATCTCTATGCCACTTCTGATGGTCATAATATTTGGCAATATACAGGAAATGGCTGCTTTGACTCTTTTGCATATCAAAAGTATACACCAAATTAATCTTGCAGTATTTTTAAGACTATAATTTTCTTCCGTAATGTTCACTCTTTGCACAGTCACAGTGGTTACTTCCTGCATCTTCCATGAGATTTAAACATAGTAGTTTCTGGCTATGATTTGTTTCCGTTCTTCATTACCTTGGGAGTTCCCTCCCTCCTTTCTGTGGAGTCAGCTGCTTTAGCTTCAGTGTTGCATTTTAGGCACAGATCTTGCATTTCCTTCAGGCATCCCTCAAGGGTCTTCACAAACAAATCTGAGCAGGTCTCAGCACTGTCACGGAAGCTTGACACGCAGAAGATGATGTGGTCCATCTGAGGATTGTAGCAGGCTCCATAGCCGTTAGGGACAACAGGACCATAGCAGCAGAACATCTCCTCAGTAGTAGGAACCTAGGCAAAGACAAGCAATTTTTTGAACAAAAGAGATTGGTGATGATTTAGTCATAATGAGGTGCATGTTTTTACTTTTATCTCTCATTATTTCAAAGTGTTAGGCTTCAAAGTGAACCTGGCTTGTCGAGAGAATGAACTGGATACTGGTGGCATAGGTTGCATCAGAAAACAGCTCTGGCTTTTCCAGTTTGAGCTCCTTGGCAATCTCTCGCAGCCCTAGCAAGTGATTGTCTATTGCCATCCCAGTGATTGCCTGTTTCCAAATAGTGGAAAGGCAATATTTTATTGGAGAGCTGACAGCATGACAATCACAGTTTGATAATCACAGTTAAACATGAGTCATGACTAACTGACAGATTGCATAAATTAAATTCAGTGTCCGTTTCACTTACTAGAATTGTGTAATTGGTTTGGACTTTAATGGCAGTCCTAAGCATCTCCATTTTCTCAGCATCCTAAATAAATAAAGGAAGCAAGGGTTGTTATTCCTTCCCTAAGCTATTTCTGTTTTGACAACCCACACAGCATTTTCTACAAATGAGTTGCCATTTGCATGAAATGCGGGGCAGTTTAAATGAAGTGCAATGGAAACAAACTAAATTGCATACAGTGATTTTGGAGCTATTGGCCATAGCTTTCACAAATGCTAAGGCCTCAGGTGTGGAGGAGCGAATGTTGTCAACTCGTCCCTCTTTAAAACGGCGTATCGATGCACTTTCATAAGTGGGCACGAGACGTCCATGGCATCTGAATGCAAAAGAAGATTTTTTTTAAAGTAAATCTTCATTCTATAGTAGTACTAATATATCTTCAATTATAGAGAAGGCTGACCTGTAAAATGCAAACTGGAGGGCAACTTGAACGTAAGCATCAGGGCTCATTTTCTGTCTCTTGATAAACTCTTTGCCATATCCAGTGAATTTGTTGACATTCATGTCCAGATTTTTTGCAAGTCTGTAGGAATTAACAGTTTGAAAGTCTCTTATGCTCACCAAGGCTGCATTTATTTGATTAAAAAACAGTATTATTGTGAAATTTTTTACTAATTTATTACTAAGAGGACAAAGCTAAATTTTCAGCAGCGATTATGCCGTCTTCAGTGTCTCTGTCTCAGCATCCTTGTGAAATTATTCTAATATGCTGATTTGGTTCTGGTTTTCAAGAATTATTATTATAAATAATAATTTGATAGACAGAGTCTTTTGTAGACCGTACTATCAACAAAAAAAGAACAGCATTTACTGTATTTGAAATTTAAATCTTTCTAACATTATAAATGTATACTGTCAATTTTGATCAATTTAATGCACCTTTAATAAATGCATAAATTCCTTTCGAAATAAAAATCTTACTGACCCCATACTTTTAAAGGATAGAGTAAGAATAACACTTCTAACACTTCTCTTGTATTTTACACCCTTTTATTTGTCAATTTGAATTTTATTTAAAATGATTTATGTATAAGCAAAATTATATAAACTACCTGTAAATCACTTTCAAAATGCAATTCAATTCAATTTGAGGTATTTTCTACATTGTAAAAAACAATATAATCAGTAAGTTATGAAAGTTTTTACATTGCTTTAACTTCAAATTTTTTATAAGTTATACAAGATTCAACTAATTTGGAAGTAAATGTAATTTAAGTTGAAACGACAAGTTGATTGTACTTTTTATTAATAAATAAACAAAGTTTAGTGTAATTAATCAATTGCTATCAGAATGGTATCTGTTAGAGTGTATAGAACTCTAACAGTTACCACTGTATCACCAGTGTAACAGATACTACCCTGGTGTATCACCTGTTTTATTGACTTACTTCTGTAATTTATCTGCTGAGGTCGTGAGGAACGTTTGGATGTCTGGTGAGCACTTCCAGCGCAGTCTTCTGGGGGCAGGAAGCTCACTCATGCTGGGCGCTCTCACCAGCTTAGAAGGGCTTCCCCTCCTGTGAGAGAAACAGTCTTACAGCCCATCACATTGTGTCTTCACTAGCTTAGCGGCTATTCTCAAGCTGTGTGTGCTCATATCTCAAGTCATCTCATTAGAGTTCTGAGTCTTTGGCAAATACATGAATGCAACTACTGTGCTAGTGAGAATAAGCAAAAGGATATTACAGATTCCTTCAGAAGTGAATGTATTCATCGAATTTGCCAGACCAGCAGTGCATTGTAAATAATCAAAGAGATACTTTGAAATTCATTTCTATAAATAAAATAATAATTTGGCTTACATGTATCTCAGTAGATACTCTGTACAATGCACGAGCACTATTCCCTCAAAAGGGGAGTGTTCACATACAACGCCGCAGCATCCATCTGCACCTATCACAAACTGAAATCGTTACAGTAGTTTAATTTTAGTATTCATCTTCTTTGTCAAATTAGATCCAACTGTGGGTTTTCTACCTGCATGGGCTTGTCGTACCACCGGTTGCCCCCGTTTTTGTCTGGGCCCCCTCCGTGGAGCATCAGCGAAGCTCGGTTGGTATCAGTCAGTTCAATGCCGGAGGGCTCATCCAAACACACCAGACACAGACAGCGTTCAATCACGTCTAGAGAGTCCCTGTTGGTAGAGTCTGCACCCGATTGAGAAATATTACATTTTATAGGTGTGTGAATTCCATTAACCTGTACGGAATTTCTTGTTTTGTCAAGGGGATTTTTTGTACTTGAGTTTATCTGGAAATGCATCTCTCTCTCTTGTTTCTTAATGTTTGGATGTCAAATTGCAGGTCTAGTAAAGATACAGCTTGTGTAGTTGAGGATAAATGATGTCTGACCTTTGATCAGTACGCTGCGAGCCTCAGCCCACTGCGTTCTGCCATCTGATGTGAGCAGACCGATAGGAGGCAGACGCTCCTCTTCGGTGTCTGCCATCTTTCTGATTCGCTCCAGCTGGGTGTAAAGGTCTTTTTCATTCAGTCGACGAAAGTTTATCACCACGTCAAGAACAAAAAACTGCAAACACATAAAGCATGGTATGGCAGAAAATTTACAGATTATTTATGACTTTTGGAATCAAGCTTTAACATAATTTGAAAGAAAAGCCAACACATTGTCATCCTAGGGCGTCATATACTGACGCTTTTGACAATGCGTATACATCCAACGCACATGGCACCCTTTAGCGTCAATATAACACGCTTCGGTTATTGGTAGGTTTAGGTCTGGGGTAGGGTTAGGGACTACTAGGAGGTGCCTTCTGGCTTCTCCCATATATATCTGCGTCTCATATTGACGCTAAAGGGTGCCATGTGCGTTGGATGTATACGCATTGTCAAAAGCGTCAGTATATGATGCCTTGGGATGAGAATGGGCTGGAAAAGCATAACCATATAAAAAAAGAAACATAACTAGCAGAATTAGATTTAGATTAGACTTATTTTTCAAGTTGACTAACCTTACAATTTTAAGTTGAAACTTTTTACTGTGAATGTGAAGCAATTCCTACCTGATTCTTACAAGCCACTATTATATGTTCGGGCTCAGGCATAACCATACTCTTCTGAGCCACTAAAGTGTCACTTTTTGGCCCTGGCAAACGGTAGGAGGTGAAGACCTTGTTGTACTGATCCATACACAGGGCCGTCCCAGCCAGCTGCCCGCGAGCGTATTCTACAGGGAGAGCACGTCTGCAACAAATGCAGCATACCTTCATGTTCACAATATTAAAAGTTAATGTGATAACATGTGAAAACAAGGAGAAAAACTTACCCGTCAATTAGAGATTTATACTCTAATACGCCAGAAATGAGATGGGCTGCAAATCTGTTCAGAACAAATATAAGAGTTCATAAATAAACTATTATTTAAAAGATTAATTAAAATTTTTATATTTTAATTTTTTTTTTGTAAAGAATTGTCTTATACTCACTAAGACTGCATTTACTACTTGATCCAAAATGCAATAAAAAGTTAACTTTTGATCATTGCGATTATTTTAAGTAGGTTTTAAAATAGCACTTAATCCAATTTGGCTTTAACAAAATCATTGTTTTTTATTTTATATTCTCTAAGACTACTTCTAGACTTTTACTTACCATTATGATACTACTTATATTAATCTTTTAATACAAAATGTAGAAATAATCAATAGGAAACATAACTTTTTCTATATGTTAAGCCTAAAATAGCAATGTCCATTATATGATATACTGTATATTGTTTCCCTCAGACATCCATTTTAGGACTGAAATCAACATCAAGTTAGGGTGAAAGGAACACTTTATTTAGACGTTTACTAATCTGTAGATTAAACTATGCTGAATGAGAAATCAAATTTTAGTTAACGAGCCCCTCGATTACACGGCCATATGGAGCTACACAGTTAGCAGATGAGATCATGCAGTTTACAGACCTGACGGCTTTGCACAATCCTAATGCGTATACAGTATCCTTAAATTATGAATACTTTGCATCTCCATTTAAATGAACTGATATCAATGATGATATGCAGTGAATTCATTGTCATCTCAGTTTAAAGGAATAACAATTGCCTCTGCTGTATCCCCAGTGTCCTGTACCTGAGGACGTCACTTTGACCCTTGAAGTTCTGCTTAGGAAAGACCATAACAGGACTGGAGTTGACAGGTAGTGCTAATCTGTTGCTCAAATACATGTCTTCGAGCCAGTAGTCATACACCTTAGACAATGATCAAGAGAGAGTATGAAGCAAATAAATCACTTTTAAACAATATTAAACTAAATGTGCCTGCACATTAAAAGCAAAGTTGTTTCCAGCAGTCACTTTTTTCTTAGCAGACAATGCAGTCCATACCCAATTAGCCTTATGATCACTTCTCTCCATCAGCTTTTTCTGTAGAAATTGTCCAATCCCACCAGGTGCTCCAAATTTCTCTACAATAGCCTTGGTCTTATGGAACTGCTCCTCTGGTATGAGGTGACTCATGCATTTCAGGTACGTGTCCAGTGTTTGCTGCAAAGGGGGCACCGGGAGCTTCGGAAGGCCCTAAATTGAAATTAGAGATCAGAGCTTTCATTTATATTTTGGTGCCAGGGACAGCTTAACTAGCTTTGTTTTATAGATCTTAAGTTATTGTTCTCAAGCTAATGAGTCTCTTGTCTAATTAGCCTTGATAGAGTAGTAAATCCTTTATCCTCCAAGTGATCCCTGACAAGTATTATATTTAAATTATTTCGCCCTGTATCACTTTTGCTATAATAGCATGTATAAAACAACATGATAATTTATGTTTTATCAATATTGTAGATGACCTTGTCTGTTTGAAATGTTAAAAGAGTATGTTTGAAAGACATTTTGTTAAGCCACATAATGCAAACATTAGTATTTTGCTTACACTTGCATCTCCCTGGTCTCTTGCTTCTTCCCTTTTCAAAACCGGCATCCTCGGAGTTGAAGAATTAAATGAAGAAAGATGAAAATCCACTGACACTTTTCCCAGTTCCCTCTGGAACAGATATGCAGGAATGAGAGAGGCTTAAATAGTATTCAATTTAATTTTATAAATATAAATATCCATAAAATAACTAAAAACTGTGCTATCATTTTTTTTAATCATCAGCCACATCGATTAGACAAGGCTATTAGCAACCTTAAATTATTTCAGATTAATTATAATTTTATTATTAGATACATATAGAAACAGGTATAAAGGATTTGTATAGCATTTCACCGGTAGCTCTATATTTGGTCCTTGTTTGTTTCTGTAAGCATAAACGTCCTTGCATTCTCAAAAGTGTCAATTTAAAAAAAGTACTCACCAAAATGTCTTTCTCTTTGTGGATTCCTCAGGTGTCTCAAAGGGTTTATCCAGATTCATAGTCCCGTCGTGTTTTATTAAGGGCAAAGAGCCGCTGATGGTGTCTGTTAACTTGTTTGAGGCGGCATACTTGCGTCCCATTCATTGCAAGTCGGGAGCCTCTTAGGATGCTCCTCAGGAAAGATGCTGAAGGAGCGGTACCTTTTTCAGACTCCTCCCACTCAACTCCATTCGCTCGATGCCATATCTGCCAGCCCACCTCACACTCACTTTAAGTTAAGTCCTTGAAAGAAATGTATGGCCACCTTTCCAAATCTCGCAGAAGAAAAAATGTCTAAACGCGAACGCGCTCGATACCTTAATTAAAACGAAAAGTGGAAAGTCTTGTTAGACCATCTTGCACCATAAGCAATTGCTTTTTTCGTCTTCTTTTAAATGAATAGGTTCGATTTTCGTCTGTTTTGCAAAAAGCATCGTGTACAGAAACCCCTATACACGTCTATTTTGGTTAAACACTTTATAATTATGAATCAATTTTGGGTGTGGAAAGAATGGACAGAAAAGTTGTTGTTTTTTTATTCACAGCCTTTTCATTATAGCATACATATTGTGTAGTAGATATTTATAATGATGTCTTGTTCATGCGTGTTATTTCAGAATATGTATATTTTCGCTTCTTTGTTGTATTTTTGGTGCTTTTTACTGCACAAAAAATACGCAAATGTATTGCTTCCATTTATTTGGAATATTTCGTTTTGTTTTCTGTCACTAATTAATCATTGTCTTTTGTGAGAAAAATTTACCCTAAACCAAAACGAAATCAATTCAAATTTAGATGTAGATATTTGATCGTGTAGATGCATGATGGAAGTCAGTCACACACACACGGCGCACAACAAGGCGTTTGGTTTCACAGATTTTCTTTTAATTATGTACATTTGATATGCACATATGTACACCATTATTTTCCATAATATACAGTAACGCATTCCAGAAATACACCCTAAACATTTAATACTTGAAACAGACACTGAAAAGGCAGGATTCACACCGCTTCCATCATTTTTTTTTTATATGAAGGTGTCAGGTGAAATTTTGCATATTATTTGTAACAGCACAAATTCGGCGGAATAACTTCAACGAAGGCCCATTTAATACGTACACACGCGTCTTCATATTTAATATGTTTGCACCATATTTATATCCCTGAATAATAACTGAATTAATAACTTAATGCAGCGGAATACTAAACAGTGAATATATATATATATATTTTACATGTCGTATATTGAAGAAAAAATATATTGAGCTCATTATTTCAGTAAATTGAGTAGCTTAAATTATGTTAAGATTGTATGCGGTTCACCAATAGTTTTCCTCGGGACAATGAGTAACATGTAAATGAGTGAATGAAAAACATTTATATTCAGCAGAGGTTTTAACAGGATTGTAACAGATGATCATAGACGACTCAAACTATATGTATTCTAGCTCAGACGTCTCTTCTTCAGAGAATGACTTTGATTGTCCAGCAAATGTCCCGTTCTCGTCGATGGGCACACAGTTACCGGCTGAATTGTAGCCGTGCTTCTTTCTTTGGCGTTCCTCCATCTTAATCGTGTCGTACAGACCTGTGGCTCCCTCCTCTATTAACATGTTTCTCTCAGAGTGAGATGGTTTCATAAAGCACACGTTGCGCAGTAAAATCAGGGCTGGTGCGTAAAGTACGTTCGCCAGACCCATGCCCAGATTGAGTTGCACAAACCCTAGATCGTGCACTATTTTACCGGCCACGATGGGGCCCAGCGCGTAGGCAACACAGTAGGAGATGTCTGCAATTGCGTACACACTACCATACACAGACACGTGACGGACATCTACGAGAAAAGCAAGTGTGGGTAATAAAGCTGTGTCTACCAGTGCAATACCGAAACAAATGCCACACAGGGGGATTATCAGCTGCTCGAAGTTTTTGCAAGCCGGCACAATACAAGAGCTAGCACCAATAATAACCATGCCAAGTGCCCCATAGAACCACTGCAAGTGTGGATACTGTGCTGCCAGCTTGACAGTCATATAAACACCTAAAATGTGAGGGAAAAAGGCAGGTAGCCAGGTGAGCCCAATCTCCCACTGGGATGAATCCATGGTCTCCTCCATCCAGTTAGCAATGGTGGGCTCCAGAAAAGCAAGGGGGATGTTACATGTGGTCAAAGCTCCTGCCACAACTGCTATGTAGGGATCAATCATTAGTTTGTAAATCGGGGTGCCAATCGGCATATTCTCTCTAGTCCTACTGGAAAAGGGCTTGAGGACAGTCAGGCATAGTACACCATCTGCCAAACATATACAGGCGAGCACAATGAACGGGACGCGTTTGCCTGCGAACTCGTAGAGTACCCCTCCGAACGGGGGCGCCGCCAGGCTTCCGAACGAGATGAACGCGAGGGCAATGCCCAGCGCGCGACTTCTCTCGGGCTCCTCCGTGTACTTGTCTGCGATCATGGCAATTCCTGAAGTGTCTGCGAACGCAGAGCCGAGTCCTTGCAGACTGCGGGCGAAGAACAGAGTCGCGTAGTTCTCTGCGAAGGCAAAAATGCATGTCGAGACAAACATGATACTGAGTCCAATTAAAAGTGGAATGTCATAGCCGACTCGGTCTATGAAAGTTCCGGTCAAAGGATTGACAAGGAGCTGCAGGATGGCTTTTGAGGCGAAAAGCACGCCGATCTGCAAGTCAAAGTTCTCGTTTTGAGTGCTGTTGATTGAAGAATTACCCGTTACATGCGCCTGCTCTGATTCGCTCTCTAAACGCGCTAGATAATCTGGCACAATCGGCACGATGACCATATAAAGCATATTGTCTAGCAGAAGTGCCACACATACAATGACTAGAATAATCCTTCTTTGTCGCTCGGGGTCCTGGATCGCCGTTCCTAACTGTTTAGTTTTTTCTCCCATCTCTGATAGTTTAACGGCGGCGGTTTGCGCCAAGCCACCCGATTCCTCCGTAGCCATGATCCACACGTTGGTTGGTTTCAGCAAACGACTCTCAGCTCTCTTCTAAAATGTGCTTTTCTTCCACAAAAAGTCCTCGCACATTGGGTTGTCCAACACTCCTTGAATAGTGAAGCCTCGGCGCGCGCGGACCAACTTTTCCTGCTTTACCTTGCAGTCCTTCGTTGCGCGTGCATTTCTTCCCTCTCGACTGCTGTCATGCAGTGTTGTTTCATCGTATTCGGTTGAGAACGCCAAGTCAAAAACTCACTGTCAGGTCAAAAATTCGCCTTCTTGTTTCCCCCCTTATTTATTGGCATTGTAGCCGAGCGCGCGGAGCCCGAATGAGCGTGAATAGATGAATTCACCTGTAGCTCAATGTCATGATTTCTCCTCAGCTGTCTTCTTATTGATGCCATCCAATGCAGATGCGCTTACATGTTGATTCCATTGGAATCGCGCCTCTTTTTTCCCAAGGATGTGACGCACTGTTTGCTACCCCCTCAAGTGCTTCCCCAACCAGCTGGGTCTTTTATGCTCATTTAACACGTCAAGCCCCTAACCAGTAACGCCAAGTTGTGTTTTGCTTTATAACTTCTAAATATTGAGCGAGCTTCTATAGCTGCTTAGGACCACAAACCTTAAGTCACCGAGCTCGGCAGATACGCTGACTGTGAGGAAGATGCATGCAAGTTTTATTTAAGTTGCTCAGTGAGAACTAACTCACTCACTCTCTCGCTCGAAGATGTTATTGATCGCCGCCTACGCTTTCGTTTGTTTTCAGTAAACAGACTTTGGAAAGTTATATGCTAATAAATTGCTCGGCGCTAGCTTCTTCTTTTTTTAAGACAAGTTGTATTAGGCTATTCTTTGACCGTGATTCCTCTTATTTCAAGTATGATTTTAGATTTCTTTTAGACAGAAAGGGAGAAAGAAAATGTTGAAGAAGAAAAATTACGCACATAATGAGTTATCTACCCCCAATTAGTGGAATAATT